AGCAGGAAAAGAGGCAGCTCATGGCACTGCCCAACAGAGGTTCCACATCAGAGCACAGGGGTGGGACATCTCCAACCCATGGCCACATCCAGTCTGTTCAGCTACAAAGAAGAGGTGAATATGGGAGGACTGGGGTATAACAGCAGAAGACACAAAGCAACAGAGATCAGAAGTGAAATAGGAAGAGGAGGAAGGTGGCTTTGCTGCTGCATGCAGATGGCCTTTCTATCTAGTAGCAACTTGTGTGTCCAGAGGAGGCAGCTCTGCAGAGAAGGGATGTGTGTAAACCCAAAGGAGCAAAAAGTAAAAAGAAAATAAGAAAACATTGTCCTGAAGAGAATTTCATTTTATTAAAACAAAAGTGGAACTACGCAAGCACCCAGCCCCATAAGCATGACTGAACCTCACCTTTAAGAGCATGTGTTTCTCACTGGGAGTGAGATACATCTTATTTTCATAGTAATCCACACAGATGTTGACAATATCAGCCAGCAGTTCCTCATAGCCAGGGATGACCTCTAGTTGCTGGTGCAGACACTGAAACATCAACAGGGGCCACATTATCCACATGGACAGAACAGCAGAAACCAGGGGAGAAAAGTATTTGAAGGATTAAGAGTGGAATAACAAGAGGTTTCTTCAAACCTTATCTCTGTTTTTTTTTAAGTTACCAGCAGAACATTGACCTCATGGTACCACCTGTAAGGAACAACCTGACTTCTGCAGGACATTTTCCCCCTTTAGACTGATCACAACAGCCACAGAGCAGACAGTGAGATGTAAAGAAAGATGCCTCACAGACTTTCTGACTCTCTCCTGCCTTTGTGCAGTAGCTAATTAGCAGAAGCTGTATAGCCTGTGGAGTGTCGAGGGCCAAAGGGCTGATCTGCAGTTCCCATGCAGTTGCACACACAGACTGGATGGATTTCCTGAGGAAAATGGGAAGAAGTTCTGGAAGAAACTTCCCCTTCAAGAGCTCTTCTTACATCTTTTATATCATCTTAGTCTTGTCATAGAGACCTTCAAAACCACTCAGGATGAACCACGGGAAGGAGATATTGCTAGAGTTACATAGCCTGACCAAAAGACCAGCAGAGTCAGTGGCAATGACCCAACAGCTATGGCCAAATTCTGGTCTGCAGTGCTGCCAGCCTTGGCACAATCACTGCCTCTCTCTACTCATAGAAAGATTAAGTGGTTCAGAGAAAAGGGACCTGCCTGTGTGATGCGGTTGTGGTTTGCCAGGAACATGGAGAGGTTCTGGGACTCCTGGATGGACTGGGGGTCTGCCATCTTCCGCAGGAACTGGGCAGCTCTGGAAGGGAGAAATCCAAGGTCACCGAGGATCACTCACCCAATGTGAGACTCTCACCACCCATCTTCCCTGTTTGACCTGCAGCTGCAGTGCAGCACCTCAGATCCCCTGCAGTACAGCTCTGCCTTCCTTGTTTTACCAAGAGGGAACAGAATCACTGCACAGCTCAGAGATTTGCCTAAGCTCTCAAAGAGAGCCTACAACAGCACAGAAACCCAAGCTGATGTCCACCTGCTGGGCAGACCGGGCACACCGCTGTCCCCACTCCTGCTGCTTCACCCCCTCTCACCTTTTGTAGGCAGAATGGTCATTTTTGACGCTGCACTTCATGTTCTTCAGCTCATCCAGGACAGCGAACATGTTAATGAACTTGCCCAGCGTGAGGAGATAGGCCTCGGAGACAAAGTCCTTCCTCCGCTCAGCGTGGCACAGGCGCTTCACCTCGCTGCAGAACCGCTCGATAGCCTTGCGCTGGAAGGCAGCAGGACAGCGTCATCCCAGCAGTGGCTTGGCCATCCCATGGTCATTGCACCACCACTAGGACCCCCTTCACCCACCCACAACCTCCTTCCTTTAACAAAAGTATTTTCTGCTGGGGATTGAGGCTCCACCATGGAACGAAGCAGCGTAACAGATCACTACAGATAAACATCCTCAGTGCTGGAGGGGAGAAGGTGGCTCAAACCCTCTATTTGTGCCCACCTGGAGTGTGGCACGTTCTGCAAAATCAGGCTTCAGGTTTTTAGGAGGGGCATAAAGACCTTACAAGACATATAACATAAAACTGGTGGTGAAACCCAGCTGTAGCCAGCTATAAACACAGGAGGTGACGGGGAAAGGTCCTTGGAGCCCACAGCAGCTCAGTGTTTGCCACATGGTCATTGCTCTGTAAGGATCTAAGCATTATTTTGTCAAGTGCCTCAAGTGTAGCAACTGCTAACTTTAAGCTCTGGTGCTCTTTGGCTGCCCCCCAAGTTCAGGGGGCTGTGAGCAAATCCCTGTTCCTGCTGGCACAGCAGGAGGGTGTCCAGCTGCATGGCTGCATCCCACCCACCCCAGGCACCAGCAGCCCCAGCAGCCCTCAGCTCTTCCTGGCTTTGCTTCACAGGGAGGAGCAGAAGAGCGAGCTGTGCGGGCGCTGCTGGAGAAACAGCTCTTCACGTCCAACAGCCAGCACACTGGAGAAACAGGAGCCTGTGCCACCCGTTAGCTCCACATAGTGGGGACTCTGGTCCTCCATGAACTGCAAGGGATGAGGCGTGTTCATTCCCAACTCATACACAAGATTCTGGGGCTGAGCAAGGGGGACGCAGAGTTTCCCTCAGACAAGTCTCAGGTATCTGCTGGTGGCTGCAAGGAAGAGACTTATCAGTGGGCTTGGGGCCTCTCCAAGCTGGCCTGGCAGGCAGGGATAGCACAGTCCCGCTCAGGATAAGTTAACACCAAAGTATCAAGTTATTTTTGCCTCTCTAGTTGACCACTTACCTGAAAATACATGAACTTCATAAGCTTGGTGACTTCTGGCTCCAGGACTTCCACCGTCTTCTCATAGATCTCCACTCGGTTTGGCTGTTCATTGCACTTCACCTGCATTGCAAAGACAAAACATCCTTGTCAGCATCAGAGTTTCTAACACAGCTGTGGACTGCAGCAGCCACCATCTTCTTGTTTCAGAGTGAATCCTGTCCCCATCTGAGGACAATGGAGGGACGTGAGAGGGAGTTTTTTCTTGGGGCAAGTTGTCATCCATCTCATTTCCAAACAGTTAGGTGACAGCAGAAGGGGCTGTTTCTCAGATGTGAAATTCTCTCCATGTATCACAAACAGCCTCAATCCTGACTCTGAGAAACAAAAGTCTTCTAAATACATTTGTCTAGGGTAGAACATACGCAACATGCAGTCTGGACTTGCTACACAACATGGGAGTGTTATAATGTTAGTTGAGACTTTGTGTTGCAAAGTCCCATGGACACACGAGGCATCAGGCTCTGCCTCCCTGGGATTATTTTGCTTCTGTTCCTGACCAACAACTTGGGCTTGTACGTGGCTACCAGCAATGAAGTGAGTCACATTCACTGGCATCCTAGGAAGCTAAATTTAAGGAGTTACTCAGTTGTCATCCATCTCATCTCCAAACGGTTCCTTGGAGTCATTGCCAAACTTTCAGGGAAAACCCCAGCTGCCCAGGGCAACGCATCCTTCTGTCCTCCTCTGGTTTTGTTTCCAGCTGTTGCTGACACAAGGCTGTGAAGGGGCTGACAGCCCTGGCACAAATTTAGTACCCCAGCAGCTGATGCACAGAGCACGAGGGGACAACTCAGCCAGCTTTATATGTGGGAAGATGTGAAAGTAGCTTTGCCCTCTCTGTAGTGAGGAATCTAATATCCCTGCCCTGGTGTTTCATACTGCAGCCAGGCAATATTGATGGCCACAAGGATGCAGCTCATGGTAGAGAGGAGTGGTCCGTATTCAGGTGTAGGCTCTGATCTTCACCTCTGAAACCACAGTTTTCTGAAGTGGCACATGGAGGTACACGACCGAGCAGCCAAGCTTTGGGGCTGGTAACAGGACCCCGGCTGCAGCCACGTGCTCCATGGCAAAGTGCAAGATCAAATCTAGTGACTCTGTACATGAACCCTATACCATGGTGTTGTCTGCTCCTCTGTCACATGTGGCACTGTCTAGAGCCTCAATGGGGAGAATGGGATAGGGATCAGGGACCCTATAAGCTGTGCACAGAAAGGCACAAATGTCATGAGGGCGATGGGGATGGGAGGACACTAAACCAGGTTATCTCTAGCATTGTCTTGCCATCAGCTCAGCCACAGCCCGCCTTCTGTTATCACAGCCAGAGAGGCAGCAGCAGCACAACATCAAATATAAATGGGAGAGAAGCAAATACCCAATCAGCAGCAGAAACTTCCCCATGGCTGGGTCTCACGAGACCATCAGCAGAGTACAACCCGAGGGGAACTGAGGTTTGACCTTTCCTGGGGAATCACAAACACGGGCATTGCCAGCCATGTGGAAATATTTGTTCCTGGCTCCATGGAAGTGCTGCAAACCCTTTTATCTGCGGGGTTAATGGAAGTGCACTGCACCCACCCCAGCGCACCATCAGTCGGTGTTTTTGCAGTGATCCAGCACGTGTTCACACTAAGGAAGACAAGCTCCGAGCTGGAGTCTGAATCACCATGTGGGCAACCTTACTCATGCCTGTAGGTGTCTGCAGGATGAAGCCACCAAAATTCAGGTTGGAGAGAGAAGGACTAGAAAACAGTTGAAGCAGAACTAGCAGCAGAGATGGAAAATGATCAAAACTGGGGGGAAATCGGGATCCAGAGGTGTACCAGCAGCAAAAAAGGGCATTTGGGAAAATGTTTCTGGCAAATCAAGCTGCTCCTTCATGCATCTTCAAACAACACCTACAATTCTGGGGCTCCTGTGGGAGCACAGAGAGCAAACCAGCCTCAGGGCAGCAGTCTGGGATGCAGAAACCTGCCCCAGCTGCCTGATCTGCTCTGTGCAAGTCAGGGAGAGCCTGAGTATGCCACATGCCAAGAGGACCCGCTGTTTTCATCCCAGGCTGCCTGGGCTCCCTTCTCCATACAATACAAGAGTCCCACTCGGTACTGGAGCTATTTTTAACTGAAGCTGAAGTTCCTGATACCACACAATGGTACAATACCACACAACAGTATCAGGAGAGTATGATATAAACCAGATCGGATGATTTTACTCTCAACTTCCAAAAACTAACTGCCTTTTTCTGAAGTAAACTCCATGTCCCCACAACTTGAGAGAGAAAATACTCAAGTGGTGCATCGGGAAGGAAATAATCACACTGCTTTAATTAAAGGCTACCCATTCTCCAGGCAGAGAAGTGGATAAAGACCCAAGTGACAAAACACAGCATTATCCTCAGCTCTGGACCAGAGCTGTGCTCAGCTGAGTCCTGTTGGCAACTGTAGGACAAACAAGCTGGTACTGTGGGGATTGAAATAACTTCAGATGTGGCTGCTTTGGGGAGCAGGGGAGGGGCTCATGAAACCAGGAAATGTATATAGAGGTAGTTGGGCTGTGGTGAGTGTGACTGAGCTGAGAGGCACTGTTAGGAGGGGTTGGGGATGAAGCCTTATCTATATCTGAGGGTGCAGAGCAGACACCCTTTGCTAAGGCAGCAGCACAGATCTGCTCCTGAAATGGTTACCAGCTGCTAGATCAGTGGTTGAGACTCTGGTGGGGAGAAAACAATCTGAAGAGTCAGTGGTCTCTCATTTCAGCATCTCTATTTGCTTCAATCTCTGTTCTTTTATTCTTCTGTCTCCAGCCCAAACTAACCCACACTAAGGACAAAACCAATCAGGTGCTCTGGAACATCCCTGCCTGGGAAAGGGCTTGAGTACCTGGGGGATGGCTCGTGAGCAGCTCCTCCATGTGTAAAGCATCACGGCGTACTCATGGCCTTCTTCCAGCATTTCATTCTGAAAGACAGAGAGGTGTTGCTGAGGCAGGGCACACACCAAAGGCTCAGCATCACTGGGGCAGTGGCTGGGGGACTCACCATGCTGGAGTGCACCGTCGCCTGCTCGATGTACCTGGCAATGCCAGTCACAAAGGCATTTCTGTCTTCAAAGTTTGTGTCAAAGTTGGCCTGTGGGTGGAATGGAGAGAGACAGATTAACGTACAGCTGGTTGGTTGCTCATCTGATATAGTCAAGTTTGGGATTTGCTGGTAAAAAGAACCAATAGGGCTCCTGGGGCATGGGAGCAGCTTATGGGCAATTTGAGGTGCTGCACCTCTAGGTCTGAAGTAGATTCATACACGCAGCCTGAGATGGTTCTGAATCACACATATTCATTAGAGGAAATCCTGCAGATTCTATGTGTGGAAATGTGGCAATCAAGACTGATAAACCCTTGTAAAATTAAACCAAACTCGGATGGGGACTGGCTGCAGGGAATAGCAGCCACACTAGAGAGCAAACATACAGCAATCGTTCTAAGGATTTTAGCTTGGTAACTCGAAGACAGAAGCATCCTCATTAATTTCCATTTGTGCTCTGGCTGCTAGGGAA